TAGATAGATAGATAGATAGATAGATAGATAGATAGATAGATAGATAGTGTTGTTGAAAGAAGGGATTTGGTATATTGTCGGCAGCATATCAAAATTAAATTGGTTGGCAGGAGTGTTCATTCAATGCAATGGAGATTGCGACGCGCCGGGGTGGTCTTGTTATGGGCTGGGAGAGCTGAAGCTAATCTCCCACAAGGCCGATGGCGAACACCTAATTAGGAAACTACATCACATGTACCATGGGTTAGTTTAATTTTTTTAGCTTTAATTATATCTGGCCTTTTTTCATTTATATGAACTTACTACCGTATTATCAAATACAGATCTAGAAAGTGTCAAATGGTACAACGAAAACTTTAAAGTAAATCTATTATGTTTTGTAAAAAGTCATGGAACAAAAGATGTTGTTTATGATGTTAGCAATATAGTCCTGCGAGGTTGTTAATTACAAACGACCACGTTTATCTCGTTTTTTAACTGCGCCAGTTCAATGGAATATCAAACAAGGTACAGTATTTAAGAAATGTTTTTTTAGTTACTCGTAATGGCTTAACAACACAAAGGCAATTGTAACATTTGCTAATAAACCTACCAAATACTTTCAAATTGATATCCATTACGAAATGAAAATATATTTATTCGAATTTAAGTCGCGTATATTTGTTTCCAAAGCACCCTATTTGCATTAGTATTAGATGTAACTGTTTGACGACTTTACCAACTCAGTCATCAAGGGACCTGTAAATAGCCCGAAAAGTTAGTTTGTTTGAAAAAACAAATACGCGCTATTTCGTTTGGGCTGGGCGGCATTCGGAAAGCTTAGCCACATCTTCGGGTCATTAATTCCACAGTCTAAAAATAAAGGCATTTAATCAGCGCGTTTTAGCGGTTTTGTTTGGGGTTTCACTGACGGACAGAATTCCTAATGAAGTCATACGTGAGAGAACTAAAGTGACCGACATAGCTCGCAAAATCATTAAGCTTAAGTGGCAGTGAGCCGGACATGTCTGGAGGAGGGCTGATGGTCGATGGACCAGACATATTCTTGAGTGACGACCACGTTAGAGCAAACGTAGTGTAAGGACGCCCTGCGGCAAGATGGACGGATGATCTGAGAAACGGTGGCCGGCAGGGCTAGGAGAGCTGGCGTGCCTATGGAAAGGTCCAGCACAATGTTGCCCCTCGAAAATTACGTTTCGTTACTTGAAAAGTTATTTTTTTGCTGCAAAAGTTACATTGTTTTTTTTATCAAAACATAGTAGTACTTACGTACACCTATATCCTAAAAAACGAACAATACGCTTCTAATATGTACGGGGTCAACAGCGTGTCAAATCAAGGTTTGCACAAGCTTAACGTTTTGTTGTCTAAAGACATTACATTGGTCTGGTACAGATTTGTAGAAAAATCAAGCTACAAAATCAAGATCAAGATCAATACAAAATCAAGGTCCGCTCAAGAAAATTCAAGCATTCACCAGCAATTAGTAGATTTTACTTTATTGCGCCGATGATGACGCGTTTTTGATCTGACAAAAATTGTTAAATTTTTCTTTACATTTTAACATTTAAGAATTCGATTTGACATTAATTTCTTTTTCCACAGTAAAGAAGATGACTGGGGCTTCGCACATTTTATCTCGTTTAAAGATTTGATGGATCCAGACAACGGGTTCGTGAAAGATGACTCGATTACAATAGAGGTACATATCCTCGCAGAAGCTCCCCACGGTGTTTCGTGGGATTCCAAGAAACACACAGGATATGTCGGTAAGCTGATTGAACGTATGAGGTCATCTAACAACACTGAGGTTATTTTTAGTGTTGGCTTAACTAAACAGACTTCCAATAGAACCAGAACAAGCACGTGAAATGTAATATAACAGGGACTTTCTATAAAGAAGAATTGACATAAGATTCAAATTCATTCATTATTATAAACTACGAAATAATCAGTCGTATACAATGCGACTTGTAATCTTTTGCGTTATTTCACCGCGAATTTTTTGTTTCTGTATACTATATTTTTTATAGAAAAGAAATAACGGTCCTATTACGCATCAGTTCCTTGTTATCCAGGTCTCAAAAACCAAGGTGCGACCTGTTATATGAACTCCTTGCTACAAACTTTGTTCTTCACAAATGTATTACGCAAAGCTGTGTACAAGATCCCAACTGTAGGCGATGACAGCTCGCGGTCAGTTGCCTTCGCACTACAACGTGTTTTCTACGATCTCCAATTTTCGGATAAGCCAGTGGCCACCAAGAAATTGACTAAAAGCTTCGGGTGGGAGACCATGGACTCTTTTATGCAACACGACGTCCAGGAGTTTCTTCGAGTAAGATAAATCTTGTAATCTGTTGATAATCTGATCTTGAGCGATTAGTAAGTAGCGGTTATCACTCACAACTATATTATAAACTACCTGATGCCCGCGACTTCATCTGCGTAGGATAAGTACTTCGAGTTGCTTACTGTACTACTTACTTGAGAAATGATTGGTTCTTCATATAAACTTCCATCTCCTATTTCACCCCCTTTCAGATTTGTCCTTCTCCTAGGGCCCATCTACCTCTACACCATTCATAAAATTTAGTTCAGCGGTTTGGGCGTGAAAACGTAACAGACAGATTTACTTTCGCATTTATGATATTAGTTTGGATTACAATTATATAGTCTCTACGAAAATAATTCACTTATCGGAAGATGAACAGCACAACGAAATTCAATAGTAATTTATGTATAGGTATAGTCCAAAAAAAGATGCGAAGCTATCAAGTTTCAGTTAAGGGTCCTAAAATCGTCCAAGTCATATTTATTTTATTTTTTATTTTTTTATTAGTATGATATTCATATATTTTTTAGGAAAGTACTCCACTAATTTGTTAACATTATTGGTACAAAGATCGAACAACACAAAGAAACATTACTTCGATCGATTGCTGCACCGGTGCTACCGCTCTTACCATTTGAGCTACAGACAGAATCTCGGTTCTCGCTGGCTGATAGACCAGTCTGATCTGAGGAATTTATGTGTTATTTTGTTTGGATCTTTGTATCAATAATGATAATCCTCAAGACATATTTAGGATAGATGGATATATCGCTGCTTACCAAGAATAGTGGCCTAAACCAAAATAGTAAGTACATTTTTTGTTTTATTACGCAGCTGCACTCAGAATGAGCTAAATTTTATTGTGAAAAAGACACCGACCTTTTTATTGCTTAAAATAATCACGTAATAACATGGCCTTGTATATGATTCAGCCGATTCGGCTTACATTATGGATATTCTGCAGATGTTTTTAAACAATCTTTCTGATGAATTATGTAGGTAATTCGAAGATAGCAGCTATTCTTGAAAGCCATCGTATATCATATAGCGAATGTGAAATTATGTACTTTGAATTCAATTGAAATTAAATAGTGGATTTAAAAATGCAACGTTTTCCTTGAAAAACAGTTTGAAATTACTGCTTTGTATATTACAACTTATTCTTTCCAGGTGTTATTAGATAAGTTAGAAAACAAAATGAAAGGTACGGTAGTGGAAGGCACGGTACCGAAGCTGTTCGAGGGCAAGATGACGTCGTTTATAAAATGCAAGAATGTTAATTGCACTAGCACCCGCGCCGAGACCTACTATGACATTCAACTTAGCGTCAAAGGGAAGAATAACAGTATGTTTAATTAGGATGATTAACACCATACCACGGTAGCGTCTTCACGTGACTATTTGTATTTGCGTATGTGATATATTTGGCAAACAATCACCACGTGTGTCTGCATGTTTATCTATACAAATCAAATTTTTTTCCAAGTAGTTCAGACACCCAATAGTGCTTGTATTCGCTATGTGAAGTGCCGCCATTAGATGTTGTTGTTGGTATTCGCATTTGGACGCTTTTTACCCCGACAATTTGCCATGGCAGATAAATTGGCGAATGCAGTTAATGCAGTTAAATATCAGTTTAGTACGTGAGGCGCACTATAAGTTGAATGAATAAGAAAAAAAAATTATAAATATCATGTCATAAATTAATTTATTGTTTCTCAAAATATTCTCCGTTAGCGTTAATGCTCTTTTTCATACGAATGAGCCAATTTCGAAAACATTTATGCCACTCCTCCGTGACAATCTCTGAAACATATTTTTCATACTCTTCAACAGCCACTTCAGGTGATGAAAAGTGTTGACCGCGTAAGAGGTTCTTAATTTTTGGAAATAAATAAAAGTCACAAGGTGCCACGTCGGGACTGTACGCGGGATGGCTCATAAGGTCAACATTGTTCACTTTCAAAAATTCATTTGTCTGTCTGGCCGTATGAGAACTAGCATTATCGTGGTGCAAGATGATACGGCGTTTACGGTTATTGTTACGGAGTTTGTCAATAACTTCCGGCAAACAAATAGTCATGTACCATTCGCTATTCACGGTACAACGATTTTCCAAAGCAACAGTAGCCACGTGTCCAGTTTTATTAAAAAAAAAAAGCAATCATCCGCTTAGAGGTACTGCACACACGCCAGTTTGGTTGGTTTCGGTTCATCTCGAAAGACCTATACGCTAGATTGCTGCTTTGTTTTGGGATCGTAACTATAAATCCATATTCCGTCACCTGTTACTATATCCCACACCAAATTTGACGCCCCTTCGTTGAATCTGGTAAGCATGGCATTGCACCACGTGACGCGATCCGTTTTTTTGAGCCTCAGTCAAATTGTGTGAGATCCACCGCGAGCACAGCTTTTTCACACCCAAATGTTTGTGTAGTATTGATTGTATTTCACTCATGCCTATGCCTAAAGATGAATCTCATGGTACGTCACATGCCTGTCTGTTTTGATCATACAACACACAGCATCGATGTTTTTGTTGTTCGCAGCAGTGAACGGGCGACCATCACGAAATTCGTCACTGAGGGCATATTCTAGAACTCTACTCAATGCTCAAGTCAGGATTTGAGTATGGTTTAAAGCACTCGAAATCATACTCAAGTCCCTGCCATTAGGGTCGTATTTCCAGTACCTGTGTTTCCAGTGCAATCCTGACTTGAGCATTGAGTAGAGTTCTAGAATACGACCCTGAGATTCACAGGACCGCCTTTGAATTCTGCAAACCAGCTATAAATAGTCGTCTTGCATGGTGCTTTATCGCTAAAAGCAGTTTGAAGCCAAACGAAGCTCCGCTGAGCTGTTAAATTACTCTTATAGTCGTAGAAAATCATACTACGAAAATTTTCACGAGTTAAGTCCATGGTGATGTAGTCAACCAATTTGTAAAATGACGCCACAATGTAAAAACAAGTGACAGTCAGGTGAAACAAACTGTATTCTACAGTCAAAATGTTTCATTTTCAAATGTTATAATTAATTTTTAAATATTGTTTATGTAAGTGGCCTGTTCCGGAAACTTATAATGCGCCCTATGTAGACTCTTTCAACTACAACTCAATTATACGACAAGTTGACAATTTTTGAATCTTCTTATGGTGTCGATGGTATCGAATCATATTTTTTACGCCATGACGCCCATAATTTGTCAATGCGTAGTAGTTGTGTATGTTAGGAAATGTTGAACTGTACAATAGGTAGTGTCCCTGTACAGTAGGCAGGCCTTACTTACTCTGTGGGAGCGTTACAAATATATCCCTTCGGTACAATTGGTTTACTTTCCCGATGGATCCACTTTCACTGTTCGTCTAGTTTCCTCATCGGTCCACTGGTGTTTCCTGATATTTCTAGGTTTATATGGGAGTAATTTCTAGTCTCAAGGGAAAACTAAGAATAATTTTACTTATTTGTGGTAAGGAAAACAATTTGTTCTGCTTAAAAAATTTTCATGAATAACGCATTTTTCTTATAGTCTACGAATCATTCAAAGACTATATCAGCTTGGAGCTCCTGGACGGTGACAACAAGTACGATGCGGGCGAGCATGGCCTGCAGGAGGCCGAGAAAGGCGTCCGCTTCGACATGTTCCCGCCTGTTTTGCATCTGCACCTCATGCGCTTCCAGTATGACCCGCAGAGCGATGCTTCAGTTAAATTCAATGACAGGTTAGTTTCCCTGAAGCAATCAATATTCGGAATTAAATTATGAAGTTTAATTGGTTTCGGATATGTGCAAGAATTGACTTATAACTGTTTATTTATTTATCGCAAACATTGCTGTGGTTGCGGTATGGAGCAGGCGAAACATTCACCTTTGCGACATTAATCTTGTGTCCGTTTTCCCTGTAAATGTTAGTTAATAATTATCTGCCTATTTATCAAGCACAATCTATTTTTTTTTCTTTTATCTTTTTTTTTAAATATTACACAATTTAATTTATATAAGTTTAATGTTATATTACAAGTAATTCATTAATCATTATACAAATTAGTAGTAATTTGTAAAAGTCAAAAGCGGAATTATTGAATCGTTATACTTACATAACGGTATATAAAACTGCACATTATAGCGCATTCTAATTCACTAGTCCTAATTAGATTAGGCCTTCAAATGAGCGAGTCGCGTCCTACTATATATTTCTAATTTGTGGTCGCGTCTTGTTATATTGTGTTAGCTAGGGACCCCTCCCCGCGGTTCTCCCGTAACTCGTTCGGCGCCCGTGTAGCTAACAGATTCATGAACAAAACAGGTTATGACTCGTAGTTTTGTTAATAAATTAGTAAATTACAGTTCAAAGCACAATAAAAACATCTACGTTAATATTTCCTTCTTGATCACAAGTTGACAACATCTTATTACTAGTGTCAAATATGGCGGATCTTGCGCTCCTATATCTTTTATTTTTATTTTTTTAGAGTCAATTGAATTACTTCTAATAAAATATGATAATGGAATGATATTTATAACAGTGATACGTTATTTTGATTGTATATTTTAAAAAGTTAAATATAACTTAATAATCATAAACATTCAAACATGTTAATTCACATAGCATTATTCGAAATAGTAACTGCCTAAGAACAAGAGTTGTTTAATGTTGAAGTGAAAGATTTTTTATTTTACGAAAATAGATAATCTTGTTTAATATATTTGAAGTAATGTACTTTAAATATGTATTAAATATTTTATTGATTTGTTTTCACACTACAGACACTTATACCTGTATGTATATATTGCAAAGATTATGTAAGTATTTATTCGATATAAGAGTACACACTGCAATAACACTATACACACTCATGATATAAGTATTTACGTAGTTTATTTTATTTTATTATCTGTTCCGGGACGCATACGTCCGTCACTCTCACTCACTCGGCTAGGGCCCATTGAAAACCAATGTCACAACCTAGCCTTGGTTGTGAATTTAGCTGAATGGGATCCTTTTGTACACGCCACAGCCGCACACATGTCAGTATAGTATTATGTAACTTGTTGTTGAAAAGTTTTTACGCTGTTCTTTGTGTTATTTCTGTTTTAGTTATATTAGTCTTTGCTTTTGTGTTTTTTTTAAATGTGGCGTTACAATAAATGGTTTCTATTTCTATTTCTATTTTTATACATCGTGAAACCAGTACTCAAATTAGGGAATAATACTATGACTACTCCACTATCCATAATACTCAGACCAGAACCAATTTAGAAAGCTTTAAATAGCAGTAGAGCTCCTCGTGAAAGAGTTCATCCAGGGAAGTACTGCCACCTTACCTATTACTGCCGCAAGCAGTAATGAGAGCATTACTGTATTACGGTTTTGAATGTTAAGCGTGCTAGTGAAATTACAGCAATTTATGCCTCAGAGAGACGGACGGAGTGGCTCAGGGTGACGGGCGTAATGGAACCCAGGATCGCCGCATTTAATGCCTACGGTTATAGTTACTGGTCTACCGAGGTGGCTTTGCGACCGTTTTAGAGATAGCTGAGAAACTTTTTAAGCTTCTGTTAATTTCAGGTTCGAGTTCTATGAAGAGATCAACCTAGACCCTTACCTGCAGGAGATTCCACAGGTGCCAGCACACTACACCCTCCACGCGGTGCTGGTACACTCGGGCGATAACCATGGCGGACACTACGTCGTTTTCATCAACCCAAAGGGCGATGGAAAAGTAGGAGACACTTATTTCACGTAGATTCAGATTTTCAGAAGTACATGTATTTGGATTGCCAGAAAAGTGGCGCTATAATGGTGTCATAAGTTTTGCTTCATAATTGCGCAATTAAGGAAGTAAAGATATTTCTTGTGAAAATGACATAAATATAAATAACAATATACATTATAATAAATTTAAATATCATAATACACTTAATTCGCCATCATTGCCGAGACCGTTAAAACCATTTCTCAATTTTTTGAAACTTTGGATGACTAGAGTCTCGTACATAAGCTTCTCTGTAGTTCAATACCAAATATTTATTTTCTTGGTACAGTGGTGCAAGTTCGACGACGACGTGGTTTCGCGTTGCAGCAAGCAAGAAGCCATTGAATACAACTTCGGTGGCAAAGAGGATGCGCCGCACCTCGCCCGCCGCGCCACTAGTGCCTATATGCTCATCTACATACAGTAAGTATCCCTTAACCATAAACCTTTTTTTTTTGACGGGGGAAATCTTTATGGATACCCCTGAGCCCAGGGAGACTCAGGGGTTATGTGGGGACTCTCCCTCCAGACTGGGGGGACTACCCCACTAAAACCCCCCCGGGTTTCCCTCTCGCCGGTTGAGTCGGCGCCGTGAGATCGGTGAACATTCACCACGACGCCGCCCGGCCGCCCTAGCTTGCGCCAGGGCTCCCGCGCCAACGGAGGGGCGAGTCGGTTGTCCTCCGACCCGCCCCCCAGACGAGTGAGGCCGTGCAATGCAGGCTCCGGAGTCCCTGTCCAGAGCCCGCTGGATTCACTAGGGGATCAGGCGAGCAGCGAACTGCCTTCGCCTTCTCCCCGTACGTCTGCGCCGAAGCGGGTGCGCGTCTGCCGCGTCCTCGCGCACTTGCTCCGCGGTCTCCTTTTGCGACATAACCTCTGCGCAAAAGGAGGCCACCGCCTCTCAGGACTCCTCGCTAACGAGCATGGCGGTAACCACGCTCGGCAGCGAGAGGTCCTGCCCTACAGTCCCCGTCAGAGAGCGGCGCTGCCCATCCCACCGCGCAACACACCTCTAGGGTGTGCTGCGCGGTGTCATCCGCAGCGCCGCACTCGTGGCACGACGGGGACGGTGTCCTCCTCGCCACCTTGTGCAGGTAGTGACTGAAACACCCGTGCCCAGTCAGCACCTGCACAAGGTGGTACGACAGTGGCCCGTGGGACCGGTTTACTCACTCTACGAGGACAAGGCGGATCGCCCCTATGGTACGAGCGCCATAGGGGGGATCCGCCAAGCCCTCTTTCCACTGGTCCCGCATGCTCTGTGCCGCGAGGCGGCGCTCCCGCTCGTTAACCATTAACCTACCAACAAATAGACGTCGGGTCTAACACAAAAACCACGAAACAAATATCCGTAGTTAACCTGTAATAAACGTAGTGACATGTAACGAAATATTTAAAAAAACAAACATTTAATTTAAATTGTAACGTCATCGCAGTACTGCCTAATTTTGCTTGCAACAATTTAAGGGGCCCAAAACGCCATATTATCTTAATAAATTGCATCATATTTAGCTTCGACTGAAAATTACTTGAACACGAGTAATGGAGCAGCGTTTATTGTAAATAGTAATTCATTTTTATATATATTATTGTCCAGTTTAGTACAAATTTACATAATAATAATAATAATAATCTTTATTTCTCTCTTACAACGTTATCCCATAAATAAGTAATTTACATTAAGGACTTATTATTAAATACATCTTTGTAAGAGACTGGAGTCCATACTAGGAATTGACCTGTGTTACGGATCTCCAGGCACTCACCAACCGGACCTCGCACTCTATTCTACATAATATAAGAGTGTTACCATGTTCTAAATACAGAGAGCGGGTTTTATAACTGATTATTTTAATAATATAAGAAAGTAATGGAATAAAACAAAATTTTGTGTATGTGTTTGTTTTTTGTGTGTGCGTGTGTGCGTGTGTGCATGTGTGCGTGTGTGCGTGTGTGCGTGTGTGCGTGTGTGCGTGTGTGCGTGTGTGCGTGTGTGCGTGTGTGCGTGTGTGCGTGTGTGTGTGGTGTGTGTTTTTGTGTTGGAGCTACTTGTTTGGATTAAGCAGCCTAGGTATGGAGGTCATAGAGTTTGAATAGCTAGGAGATCTTCAGTGGACTGATAATCAAGACTGAGTAACCACTTTGAAATTTTAGTCTTACATTCATTTTTAGTTAGAGGATAGAAGGCAAGTATGTTGTTTAATCTATTATATAAATAACTTCCCAGGAAACTAAATATATATATTATTGTCCAGTTTAGTACAAATTTACATAAAGAAATAATAAAAGAGTCGGGCAGATATACATATACATACAAATGTTACAAGTGTGAAAATAAGCGAGTACTTAGAAATGTATCAATATACCAACCAAACGTGAACTCAAATATCCGTAATTCCGAAAACCGATTTATAATAAAACCTTTATCAAATAATTTTGATGCTCTTCACAATGACAAAAGTAGAGATAACATTATTTCGGGCAAATGTATTTTCTGAATTCTGATAGGTAATCCCAAGCCGTAAAACGAGTACAACAATATTTTGTTATATAGTTTAATAAAACGCTTATTAAAAAATTATTTTAAAAATAATATAATAAATTAATATTTCAATCGCTTGGGGTTCGAATAATTGAAAATGACCAAAAAGTTTATATAAGCTTCTTGAAATTGACGTAATGGGTCGGTCTCTTTCCATCTTTTGCGCATGCAATGTGTAGAAAAATGACAGTTAGCTATTTGATTATTTTGTTTGCTTTTGTAATTTATATTAATTTTTAGATGTTATTAATAATATAGTATTGTTGTATATAGTATTGACAACCGCGTTGTCAGTCGAACAAACGAAGACTGTTGCGCGATTGATGCTCCGTATGCGATTTTAACGCCCTATATTGCGGACACTTTTTAGCGCGAACCCGACGTCCATTTGTTAGTAGGTCAATGCCCTTAACAACGTTTTTACATAGCTTAACAATTTCAGTGCCATCGTTGTTAATTGTTAAGTATTTACACCAGATGCATCATGTTGTTTCCATTTTAAGTCACTTAAAATCTTACCCCTGCTCTGTTTATACATACTCGAAGCTGGTATTTGTAAGGGTAAATCAACAAAAATTTGTACTGGTGAAGCGCTAGAAGCCTAAGAAGCCCAAACACAGTGATATTATGCACAATCCCTAGTGCGTCGAAAAGCTTTTAACAAAATACTGGGTCCATTTAATTCCCTACCTATCCCTACACTTTTTAGTAGCAGTAGATCTCCGTGTGAAAGAGTTCGTCCAGGGAAGTACTGCCATCTTACTATTTCTGCCGCCTAGCAGTAATATAAGCATTACCGTGTTTCGGGTTAGAAGGGTAAGGGTGCTGGTGAAATTACAGGTCTTTGGACTTGTCAACTTATGTCTCAGGGTAACAGGCGCAGTGGCAGTGTCAGAACTTTGCAATTTAAAGCTCTGGCACTGTAACTGCTTTGGACAGACGTGTCGCTTAACACCAGGCGCACAATATGTTCGTCCTGTCACTTGATAACATAAAAAAACAAAACACAACTTGTTTTTTTAGAACATTCATTCTACTCGATTGACGATTTTTTCAAATACAAATTAATTCCAAATCGATGCATAATTAATCTTTAAATAATGATATTATCTTATTTAGTTTAATCATGCGATTCAATTTGCATGCTCTTATTTAAGGCTAAATAGGATTAAGTTCTCCAATCTAATTTTACCACCAAAATGTATATATAATGTACCCACTCTATTTATAGCAATTAAATGATATTTAATCAATATTTACTTGTAATTCTATAGAAATAGTGGGACCGAAGTAGTACCTTTACTTTGTAGTACCTTTGTTGATTTTAGAACACCCAGAAAGTGTGATTGCCTTGAATGTATCGAGTCTGTATCGTATATATCTGGTAGTTCAATAAGCGGTAGTTGATAAATTTGTAAGAAAAAAAAAGAGAAGAACCCAAGCAATTTACTTCCAATTTTATTAACATGGACCTCCGCAACGTAGCGTCTGAATCTATTAATTAATCAGGAGTTGCCCTGAAAAAATAAAGGAGTCTTGACTGTAGTGGTACCTGGTATACAATTACATTTCTACGTTTTCTGTTATCAAGTGACGGGACGAACAGTCGTGCGCCTTGTGGGAAGCGACACGCCTGTCCGTTGCAGTTGCAGTGCCACTCAGAACTTTAAATCGCAAAGATCTGCGACTGAGCCAGTCGCCCTGAGACATAAGTTGACAAGGCCCGTGTGCCTGTAATTTCACAAGCACGCTTATTACCCTTCATAAACGGACTGCAGTAATGTTTACATCACCGCGTTGCGCCAGAAGTAGGTGAGGTGGCAGTACTTCCCTTGACGAACTCTTTTACAAGGAGCTCTGCTGCTATTAGACCCGTGTTAGAACGTAGGTTTGATATAATAATAATAATAATAACGCACACACTCAACATAGCCCCGCACTAGGGAAACCCTGTGTCGCGGGTGCCATGGACACACATATAGACAACCACAAATTACACCCAAACTCACGAGAGAAATAAATGTAGGCCATACAAATATTTCTCCCGGCCCGGGAATCGAACCTGGGACCTCTGCGTGGCAGTCCGGCATGGTAACCGTTCGGCCACGGAGGCAGTTAGATATTGCATGTTAGTGAATGGCGATTATTTGACATTGCAGAACATCGCAGCTGAAGTACGTCCTGCAAGACGTGACCGAGGGCGACATACCGTCCGACCTGTGCGAGAGAATCCAAGAAGAAATGCGATACGAGATGGTAAGAACATGTAAATATCGGTCCCTAAACGAATTAGTGCCTTTTTTTAATTTTTTTGGTTTCGTATAAGCAACGGGCTGTTACGTATTTCAGGCGGCAGAAAAATAAGATGCAGAAAATTTAAATCTGACACATCAGTCAGCTCCGTAAAGTACTATGCGAAGATATTCAGCGCACTAAAACAGTTCTTCACTTTACAGGCCTTAGCCGGCTCTAAATATAAAGGAAGATAAGACCACAAAAGAAGCTAAAATTCAGTGAAATTTTGTACTACTAATTATATACAAAAGTTTTGAAATTATAAGTATATGCCGATACTAAAAATATTATTAACTTTATATTCTGCATTTATTTACTTTGTGTTTGATTGTTGTTATTTATGTGCTTAATAAATTTGTTGTAAAATAATCTTTTTTATTAAATATCAATCAAATTCTAAGTTTTATTGATCTTATGGTATTCTTCATCCAATAAAATATCACGATGCATTAGAATTATTCAGCCCGGCTCTTTTCACATTAATTTTATAGGTAGGTACTGTTGTATTCAAATCTTGGATCTCGTCTACACATTGTAATAGGCAGTTCTGGGAATCTTTACCGTGAAACTGTACCAGTGTTCTGTCTACCTGACGCTTATGAGAAAGTTGAAAGACATCCTCGAGGGAGCAACTTCGTCAATGGAACAACGAGCACGTAATACAACTGTATATATGCAGCTGTCTTTAACAGCTCAGTTTACCAGGTAGTAAATGCATAGGGAATCTCTGATAAATCGTGGATCATAGTGGACAACATCTGAAATCCGAAATATATCCCTTTTTGAGCAATATTATTTGGATATAATTACATTTAGAAAAAAGACAGTAGAAAACTTCGATTTTCAGATAAAGCCCAACGGTATGAAGCTAAATAAAGGAGTATTGAAAGTAGCAAACCGTCAGAAAAACATCGTCGTTACCGCACAAAGACGAAGCTTGTGGTCACAGTGGCTCACCGACGACATGACCGCGACTTTAGTGGCCAACTTTATAATGCTTTGTGTTGCTTTCAAATTCGGCCTCACGAAGAGTAAGTAACCGGGTTCAGAGGACAAATAAAATTGTTTCGGCTTTATTGTGTATCATTATTGAAATTCAAAATGAAGTATTGCGACTAAATTAATATAATTAATTTATGAATTAATCATTTATGTTAGTCCAATTTAATCCCACCAAGACACAAGTTTGCGCGTTCACCGCTAAAAAGACTCCATTTGCTGCAGGCCTACAATTCCAGTACAAACCATTAAATATCTCGGAGAGCATCGGGATCCTTGGTGTCGACATCTCTTGTGACGTTCCGTTCCGTAGTCACTTAAAAGGCAAAGTCAAGCTGGCGTCCAAAAAGCTTGGTGTGCTCAACAGGGCTAAGCGGTATTTCACTTCGGAGCAGAGACTGTTACTTTATAAGTCACCAGTCCTTCCCCACATGCAATACTGCTGCCATCTTTGGGCGGGAGCTCCTGGATGCCAGCTGGGGGCCTTTGACGCGGTTCAAAGACGTGCTATGAGAATTATTGACGATCCTGTGCTTACAGACGATATTCAACCATTGTCTTGGAGGAGATACTTTGCCTCCCTATGTCTGTTCTATCTGGTCGGCAACGCGCTCGTGACGCCCTGGCGTTGCAGGCGTTCATAGGCGACGGTAACCGCTTTTCATCAGGCGGGCTGTATGCTTGTTTGCTGCCTACATAAAAAAAAAATGCTAATAATGAAAGGAGCAAAAGCGTAAGCTTTTGAAGAGCTACACATTTTAGTCAAAAAATTAGTCTTCAAAGGTTGAAATGAAACTACTTTTTCGGATCTATATCGCGTATATTTATTTTTCCAAATCATCCCCTGCGGTCTGCTAGCATGTCACGGATAAACCTTCACACTCAATTAAGTACGACAAAACCCATGCTCTTACAAAAGAAATTCGTTATCGACCCAGGATGCTGCGAGAGGGGTGCGGTTCGTAATATATAACAACAAATGACATATTTTTAGTCGATGTAACGCCCAACAGATATAATTACTTTATGGTATACAGACATTTGACATATTCTTGCATGATATAAAGGTCACTGGGATAATAGACGATTGATATAACAATTTTCAATCTAATTGTCTGATATACCCACGGCTTAATTTGATTTTATATAAACACTTCAGATATAACATTCACTGAGTCTTATGTATTATTAACATAATTCCAGTGGTGTTTAGGTGCACTGGTGAATGAATTGAATTTGTTTGCATTTCCTAGTTGGTTCGACCTCCTCCTGTGGGTTTAGGTTAGGTTAGTATATGACAAAGCTGTATGAGCTGAGCGAGCGCAACGAGCATGCCGCGGCAGCGGCCGACAAGTGCCAGAACTGATTTATTTGCTTTCACTTGTTGGTTCGACCTTCTCCTGTGGGTTTAGGTTAGGTTAGTATATGCAATTTAATATTCTGCTTAAAGTTTTAATAAATATAAAACTATACAAAAACAAATTTATATTGCGATTGTACACTTAATGAATGGTAATAATTATACCATCAGTTCATTATTTTACCTAATCATTATATGCAATGTTTGTTATACTGAAGGTTTAATATACACATTGAAATTATGCCTTTTGTTGTTATACCTTTTGTTGATTATATACAGTGAGTGATTATATCCTTTGAAATTATATCAAATGTTGTTATACAAAGTGAAAATAGATTATTTGTTTTTATATCTTCCATTACACACCCCTGCGAGAGGCCATTGAAATTAAAAAAACATCCTAATTTCAACAGGGAAGATGGTTTTTCTGTACCACTAATTTGGGATCCATCATTTCCTCTGATGAAAAATCGTACAGTACTAATCAATGTGTTTTAATTTATTCTAATTACTATTAATAATGAATGAATGAATCAATCAATCAATCAGCCTATTGCAGTCCACTGCTGGACATAGCCTCCCCAAGTGTACGCCATAGTTTCCTTTACCTAAAGGAAACTGTAATATTTTTATATATATTAAATAATAATAAAAATAATAATATTAAATCACGCGTTTTTCGCATCCAACCACTACCCGCGACCTTCTTCAGAAGGTCGGTCCATCTTGCAGGGGGACGTCCTACACTACGTTTGCCGGGACATGGTCTCCACTCGAGAACCCTTCTACTCCATCACTCATCGGTTCTGTGACAGATGTGGCCAGCCCACTGCCTCTTTAGCTTGCTACATTTCTGGACGATGTTCACAACCTTAGTCTTATTATATCCGGATATTATAGCCGGATAACTTCGTTCCGGGCTTTGTCCCTTAACGAGATACCCAGCATAGACTTTTTCATAGCTCGCTGAGCGACGTGTAGTCTGTCAACCAGTTTCACTGTCATATTCCACGTCTCGGCTCCGTAAGTCATGACCGGTAGGACGCATTGGTTGTAAAACCTGGTCTTCAGGCACTTTGGGAGTGTTGATGAGAAGACATGACGCAGTTTCCCAAATGCTGCCCAACCCAGTTGCACTCTCCTAGTTATTTCAATTCATTAAAATTGTCTCTGCCTAGTTGCAGGGTTTGCCCGAGGTAGACATATTCTCGGACAACTTCGAGCGTTTCGCTATTAATCGAAATCGGCTCCGGGATGACGAGCTCATTGAATAAGACCTTAGTGTTGTCCAAATTCATCCGAAGACCGACCGATAATGAGGCAGCGTTATAGCTGTTCAGCATTTTCTGCAGATCCTGCAGAAATAATAATAATGAATAATAAAATTTAATTTAATAAAAAAATATAGGTACCTACTGTTAAAATAATTTGTAAAAAATATGTAGCGTACGGTGGAATGTTTGTTTGGAAATTTTAAAATAAGGTATTTAATTAATAATAGTAGATAGGAATTGACAGTTCTGAGCCACCCCGCCGCACGCGCACCCATCATTGACCCCACAGCTCATCGCAAACAGCCGCACCGCGCCAAACAACGCACCAAACCAACGTCACCTGACCCCCCGCAACCATCACCAAAACGTCACAACTCACCACCAAAACCCCTTCACACAAACACCAACCACAATCAACTGTATGCTAGCCAACATAAGACCCACATAAAACATTACTCAACCAAACAACTACGTTCACTCAGAAACAAAACGACATAACTCCTTCATAAAGCCCCTTAAAAGCTGCCAAGCCATTCTCACCTCATCAAACAGCCATAAAGTCCACATTCCCATTGAACCGGAGGCCCAGAACCGCCAATTCCTATCTACTAATAACTTTTGGAACAATAGTGAAACAAGGTGTTTGATGACTACCATCTCAGTCACCCGTAACCATGGAACCTGTAAAGGGCCCGAAACGTTGGTTTGTTCGAAAAGACAAATATGCGTGACTTAAATCCGGAAAAATAGTTTCATTGCCATGTGTAACAATCCTGAAAACCTAAGAACTCTTACTTCAAACCTTAACTTTTTTCATTTTTGTGCTACTACGAGTATGGTACACTGCTAATTAGCAGAAAACGCAAGTACTTTTCTACAGCTATGTTACAAAAGCTAATGATATGTTTATCATAGAGAACACAAGCCACTCGTAGGACATTATTTATTTGGCGTAAGCTCTCTCGTATGCTTAGGGATGGAGTCCACGTCACTAGGCCCTGATTTATCGCTTGTTTCTACTTGATTTATAACCGAACAATAAAGAAGCATTTTAACAATAGATAGGTAGGTGGTATATAACACACGTAACACAAGTAAGGGCTTTAGACAAAATTTTACAGCAAGGCCTAAAAACAATTAAATGCCGCCCTTAAACTTTATTATAAAAAATGTAATAGTATTAGGTAGGGTACTAATCATAGATATAGAAAAAAAGGGGAGATATGTAATGACGCTATGTAAGATCGGGTACCGATGTCGCCACTTTTTAGCTTGTTGCAATTCAAACTTTACGCTCTATTATCTACTACCATAACTTAAAGATTTGGATTGGGTAGGGCTTAAAACGTGAAAACGACCTAAAACAATTTTAAAACTTAACAAAATTAAACTTACAGTCACTTGAATAAGAGTTGTATTACAATGTTTCAGTATTTTTCATCCTGGTTCAGCCATTCACCAATAGGTGGCGTTTTAGTCAAAATACTACTAGTATATAATAGCTAACTATTACACGTTAGATGGCGCTGAAACTCATTTTTCGTTACACTAATAACTCACGGAGCGGTCTTCAACCGCGTCTGGCGCGGGACCGCGGCATGTGTAGAATGTAACAGTTAAGTATGTAAAATTAGTAGCACATTTCAAGGCGCGTTTTACGCCTGTAGTGGTGAGATGGTTG